GTAGATATTTCGTAGACAGAGGCTTATTCCTTTCCTTGCCTCTCTTTCCTCATCTCTCTGTCTTTCCCTGTTGAAAACCAAAGATACAGGGGTATGCAAAAGTAGGTTTATAGTTGTAATACAAATAAATCATACAATAATTAATAAAAACAAGAATAAACTTGAATACTCACAACTGTAAACCTACTTTTGCCTACTTGGTACGTTAAAACTTCATACAGATTACATTTTTTTCCTACATTAAACACCATGAATTGAGAGGTAGTGAAGTCTCTGACCCTGAAAGTGACCAACCAGCCCACAGAGAGTTCCTGCCATCATTTTCTGAGGTGTTCTCTGCACAGGGTAAAGGTTGGATAGAATGATGTGGAAAGGATATATAGATTTTGATATATTGTGTCATGTACACTTCTGTTTTCTTCTGCTGTTTTGTGTTTATATGTATTTCTTTGCTTCTTTGTGACTCTTTTATTTGTTATCTCTGTGTTCTCTCAATATAATTTTTATTAGTAAGTTTATTTACATTTCACGCAGGCACTTCTGTCTTAGCTTAATACTATTCACCTTTCTCAGAATTCTGGTTGCTCTGTTCTGTGCATTACCTTGTTTAAGAGTATCCTCTTACTATTGTAATTTTTCCTTGTCCATATGTCATACCAACTAATAGGTAGTTTAGAACCTATTTTATAATTTTCCACCACAAATTATGTAAGTGCAATATTGAATATATGTTAATTTTGTGCCTATGAACTAATTATTTTTATACATACTATTTATTACCATAAGAAGCTATCATTCATTTATATTTTCTTTATATCTTACTATTAGCAAGAATATAAAAGAATTATATTTCATTGGATTTAATCATCTATTCATTTATTCAATAAATATTTGTCAAACTCCTATACATAGCATTGATATGAGATTCTCAATGTATACTTGTTAAATGCTTGTGTACAATGTGTCACGCACTGTCTTAATAGCAGAAACACAGAGGTGGATAAGGTATGCAAAATCCTTCCTCTAAAGGAGATTTCTTTGTGGGAGGGTAGTGTCTGTGTTTGTATTTGTATTTGTATTTGTAGTGGAATGTGGAGAGTGGTAAATAAATAAACAGGTAAAGTCATTTATGCCAGTGATAGAGGCTAGGGTCCTGTGAATGTCTCAGTAACTTAGGCCATTACATTAATTATGAGGCCTGTGTTTTCACTTGTCATTGAACTGAGCCAAGGACCTAAATAATTTTGTTGTGGGGCAAGACCACGCCCAGCTGTCCCTGATCCACTACTTCCCCACTGTCTGCTTCTGCAAGAATGAGACCCAAGAGCTGTCCCACTGCTGCCCCCTGCACAGGTACATAAGCCCCTCCCACCTCCCCTGTGGGCTCCCAGGCCTCCTTCTCTCCCACCAGGGATGGTAATAGGAGGTGCTGCTATCTTGTCAGACAAACACAAGCTCTGAGTCAGGGATGGAGACAATGAATGCTCAGGGAGAGTGGAGGTTTGGCACAATGGCTCTTGGGACACAGTGTGAGATGACTCCTGGAGCCTGGCAGAGGCCAAGGTGGTGTGTTAGCAGCTGAGCTGTGGCTCTGCCCTGGAAGCCTGGCAGGAACCCCAGGAAATGGGCGCATCTGGCTGGATGAGGTGCAGTGGTGGGGCAAGGGGTCTTCCCTGTTCCTTGGGCTGCAGAGCCCTGGGGGCAGAGTGATTGCCAGCACAAGGAGGATGCTGGGGTGAGGTGCTCTTCTGAGTGGGAGGTCCAATGATGTTGGGCTATGATTGAAGGACATATAAGTTTGTACCCAGAAGCACTTCCTGAATTAACCTGCTGTTCTCTGCTCTAACTGCAGCAGAGACTATTGCCTGATCTGTGATAGAAGGGACACCCATATATTTAGGGGTCTGCCCAATAGAATTAACATATTTCTAGAAAAATTAATCATGTCAGTATAGGAAAGACCTATTTATCAGGAATTTGTAATCCTACAAAGTTGTAGCAGCTGTGTTTCTCCAAAGCTTTACCAGCTACCATTTTATAAAAATCCCTTAAAACCAGGTTTAGCTTGGGTTGACAAAGCTCAGGGAAGGACCTGGGTTGATCACATCTTAGGGTTCAGGCACACACTGTATCTGAATGGTGATTTCATGGTCTTGAGGACTCTGGAGATGATCAGGATAAAGATGGGTTCTCCTGGGCTTATCACCCTCTCTAACACTACATGCATAACCTTCTCTGCTCCTGCAGTAATTCAGGCTCAACACCTGCCTCTGGCATCTCCTTCTTACTAAGATCCTTGGTAGCATACTGGGGGCTCTTCTCTTTCTGGTCCTTACCATCCTGGGGATTCAGCTACACAGATAGAGAGCATGGCACCATGGTGGGCTGTGGGGAAGCTAAGTGATCTGGAAAGTAGTGGAAAAGGTATTGAGCCAGTCAGTTGTGATGTCAAGAGAAGTGCACAAGTATTGATCTTCACCCCATTATCTGACAAAACTACACTTTCTCTTCAAAACACTTCAGAATTTGAAAGAATTGAGTCCTTTGTCCTAGGTTGAATGTAAAACTGCTCAATAATTTTGACTTCCTTTAAAAATATTACCTCCTGAATGGCCATCATAAACAAAGCAACAAACAAGTGTTGGAGAGGTTGTGGAGAAAAGGGGACCCTAGTGCACTGTTAGTGGGATTGCAGACTGCTACAACCACTATGGAAAACAGTATGGAATTTTCTCAGAAAACTAAAACTGGATCTGCCTTTTGACCCAGCAATTCCACTGCTGGGATTATATCCTAAGAACATTGAAACACCAATCCAAAAGAACCTATGCACCCCAATGTTCATAGCAGCACAATTTACAATAGCCAAGTGTTGGAAGCAACCTAGGTGCCCATCAGTAAATGAATGGATCCAAAAACTATGGTACATTTACACAATGGAATACTATGCAGCAGAGAGAAAGAAGGAGCTCCTACCCTTTTCAACAGCATGGATGCAACTGGAAAGCATTATGCTAAGCAAAATAAGCCAGGCGGTGAGACAAATACCATATGATCTCACCTTTAACAGGAACCTAATCAACAAAACAAACAAACAAGCAAAATATAACCAAAGACACTGAAATGGAGAACAGGCTGACAGTGACCAGAGGGGAGAGAATTTCAGGGGAAAAGGGGAAGGGGTTGCAGTAACAAGTATAAAGGGCACATGGATGATAACAAGAGGGGGTGGAAACAGAGGGAGATGGAGAGGACTGGGGTGGGGTGGGCTGGGATGGAGGTAAAAGGCAGAAAACTGTACTTGAGCAATTAAAATTTTAAAAAGTATTATGACCTCCTATGTGAACAGTGACTGTGGAAATCAGCATAAGTCGACATCAGGGTCAGGAAAACTAAGTCTGTCTCAAAAAGATAATTAGGAGCCCTGGTAGCCCACAGGGGTTTTCCAAGGGTGAGGTTTGGAGAGTGCTGGAAGCTTTGTCTCTTATAAAGGGAACATCAGCAGGGCAGTCTCTACACTCATGTCACTTTCCCCAGCCTTGTCTGCTGTCACAGATAGTCCAGATAAGGTCACGTCCCAGGAGATTGATTTGCCTGTAAAACCAGAAAAGGAGTACTTGTCAGACAGCAGGGGAGGGTTCCATGCCTTCTGCTCTGTTCATGAGCTGGCCATGGGTTATCTTCAGCAAGCACAGACCCAACCACCAACTCAACCTCACACAATCAGCCTCCTCCTAACCCAGGAGCTGAAAGCCTCTCTCTAGAAGTCTGAAGTCTCAAGTTTCTTTCTGAACAATAACACTGGGTCTCCTACTATGGAAAAAGTTTTTCTGAATTTCTGTAATGTTTTTCTCCCTATTGGGTAACCTGTCTGATGACTGAGTGACTAAGCTGCTATATTATAGAGGGAACAAAGAGGGGAATGGAGACTCTCACTCTGCTCCAGATAGATCTTCCCTTGGAAGATGGGGATGAAAAGGAAGAATCTCTCTGATGAGAATTCCTGCTATGATTAGGATGGAAAGAATCTCTTATGTCCAGTTCACAATTTTTCCTCCATCTTTCCAGTCGGTAACCACAGAAAGAAAAGATCAGACAGAACTTTTGTATCCACAGCTTCTTCTACTCAGTTACAAACACACATCCAGTATATTATTATGGATTCAATAGCCATTTTTTTAAACACCTGACACTGATCATCTCAAAAATTCTGTATCAAGAGAGAACATTAGGTAGTATGGTTGAATCCTGAGATAGTATGATATTTGGATAATTTAGTGGATTATGTGTATATTGAGATAAAAAAATGATTTAAATAAACCCTGAAATACATTAGAGTGCTTACTACCTATACTTATCAACTTCCACAATTTCTTGTTCATAAGAGACATAAGAGAGAAGAGTGTTCTCCTGGATCTTCTCCAGATAATAATGATGAACAGCTTTTGAGAGGAAGCATGCCCAGAAGAGTTCCTGGGAAATAAATTCTGGTGTCAGCCGAGCTCTAGAGGGAATTAAAATCCAGACCTCCTGTGACTGGGACTAGTAGGAACTCCTGTCTCTGAGTGACCTGTATCCAGGCTTCCTTCGCCCTACCAGTCCTGTTTCTTTCACAGCTTCAGAAGGCACGTGGACAGCTTGGATTCTCTTGTTCCAAATGCACCCTCCCTCAGTCACTGATATGTGCATATTACATGTTACAACTTTGTCCCACATGCTTGAAAATAGTACCTGATTCTTTTAGCAAAATAACTTTTGTTTACATTTTATGGCATAAGTGACACCGTCAAAAAATATTATTGACCTTGATATATGGGAATATTTAGAAGATTTAAATAATATCTGAGAATATTGAAATGACATATATATTCTTTGAGACAATCATGGAATATGGTATCTATATTTATTAGCTATTAGAATCTCTGCATTAGAGGAGACTTAGGGCATCACCTTGTCCAGCCATATTTTGGTATTTCACCTACATCCTTGTCTGTTTTCAGAGCCCCCAGGACAACATGTCAATGCCATTAGAAACAGTTATGATGATATTGAAGAGTTACCTGTTCCTGAAACTCTTTCTTCCCCTGGCATGAGAGAGAATTTTTTTTTCCCAAAAGAGGGAGGTGATGTCTGGTATTCCCAAAGAGGTGAGTGGGCAGCTTGGTCTCCAGTAGCGTCACTTCCTTGTGATGGAGAAAATGAGTATGGGCCTATCAATAGTCAGTTTTTCTTTACTTGGATACTTAGATAAGATTAGCTCTTTTTTAATATATTTTATTGATTATGCTATTACAGTTGTCCCACTTCCTCCCCTTCACTCCCCTCCACCCTGTACACCCTCTCCCACCCACATGCCCTGCCTTTAGTTCTTGTCCATGTGTCATACTTATAAATTCTTTAGCTTCTACATTTCCCATACTATTCTTGCCCTCCCCATCTACTTTCTACCTACCATCTATGCTACTTATTCTCCATACCTTTTCCTCCTCCCATGCCCCTGTTGCTAACCCTGCATGTGATCTCTATTTCTGTGGCTCTGTTCCTGTTCTAGTTGTTTGCTTGGTTTGCTTTTGTTTTTGTTTTAGGTGTGGTTGTTAATAAATGTGAGTTTGCTGTTATTTTACTATACATGGTTTTTTATCTTCTTTTTCTTAGATAAGTCCCTTTAACATTTCATATAATAAGTACTTGGTGATGATGAACTCCTTTAACTTGACCTTATCTGAGAAGCACTTTATCTGCCCTTCCATTCTAAATGAAAACTTTGCTGGATAGAGCAATCTTGGATATAGGTCCATGCCTTTCATGACTTGGAATACTTCTTTCCTGCCCCTTCTTGCCTGTAAGGTCTCTTTTGAGAAATCAGCTGACAGTCTGATGGGAACTCCTTTGTAGGTAACTGTCTCCTTATCTCTTGCTGCTTCTAGGATTCTCTCCTTCATTTTTACCTTGGCTAATGTAATTATGATGTGCCTTGGTGTATTCCTCCTTGGGTCCAACTTCTTTGGGACTCTCTGAACTTCCTGGACTTCCTGGAAGTCTATTTCCTTTGCCAGATTAGGGAAGTTCTCCTTTTTTGTTTAAATAAGTTTTCCCTTTGTTGCTCTTCCTCTTGTCCTTCTGGTACCCCTATAATTCAGATGTTGGAACATTTAAAGATGTCCTGGAGGTTCATAAGCCTCTCCTCATTTTTTCTGAATTCTTGTCTCTTCATTGTTTTCTGTTTGATTGTTTCTTTCTTCCTTCTAATCCACTCCATTGATGTGAGACCCAGTTTTCTTCCCATCACTACTGGTTCTCTGTACATTTTCCTTTATTTCAGTTAGTGTAGCCTTCATTTTTTTATCTAACTTGTGACCAAATTCAACCAATTCTGTGAACATCCTGATCACCAGTGCTTTGAACTTTGCTTCTGATAGATTGGCTATCCCTTTATTGCTTAGTTGTATTTGTTCTGACGCTTTGATCTGTTCTTTTGTATGGACCATTTTTTTTTGTCTTGAGGCACCTGTTACATAGTGAGGGGTGGAGCCTTTGGTATTCACCAGGGTGGGGCAACCCACATGCTGTGTTGAGACTCTGTATGTGGGGGAGGGGTCTGAGAGGGAACAATGGTGCTTATTCTGCTCTCTGTCAGATTTCAATCCCTTCTGCCACTTCCCCCAAGCAAATGGAGCCCTTCTTGTGCTGATTCCCATGTGAGTGGGCTTGTGTACATTCTAGGACCCTGTGGGTCTCTCCAATGAACTCTCCTGTGAGGCTGGGAGTCTCTCCCAGCACCTCAATACCCAGAGCTGTTTTCAATCAGTGTTTTGAGGCTTTATTTCCCTGCGCTGGAGCCCTAGATTGTGTGATCTGTCTCACTCTCCAGTTTCTCCTGGTTTATCTGCACTCAAATGTGGGATTTCCAGGTCCACCAGCTGGCTTGTGGCGCACCCCTCCACAATCCCCTGCCTCACTGGGTCCGCCAGTTTCCAACCTGCACCTGAGGTCTACCAGCTACCGCCTGAGTTCCCGGGGCCCACCATGGGTCTGCCAGCCACTGCTTTCTTTGCCGAGACCCCTCTCTGCCCAGCCCCCGACTCTGTCCCTCCTACCAGTCTGGATGAATGTGTCTATTTTAATTTGATAGTTGTCAGACTCCCATACAGTTCAGCTTTCTGTCAGTACTGATTGGTTTTTGGTTTCTAAATTTTTGTTGTCTTTATTTTTGTTGTGTGAGGAAGCACAGTGTGTCTACCTATGCCTCCATCTTGGTTGGAAGTCCAGATTAGCTCTTTTCTATTCCAGGTATATTATAGCCATTTCATATTTTCTGAGAGGAGAAACGTACTGTGTTCATGTCCACCATCAATTGATGTAAACATCTCTATGAGTTGCAAAGGCTTTGTTCCCATTTTATACCTCAAGCTGAAATATATGTTCTGACAATAATTATGGGGGCTCCTTCAGATTGTGAGAAGGAATCTGAAAGTTTTTTATATCAATGTAAATTAAACTTGTAAGCTATAAAAAAATTGTTTTGGCAGAACCACGTAAGCAAATGTTTTAAGTTGACGTGACCCACTATTAACACAGAATATTCAGTGGCCGAAATTAGAGTCATAATATCTCAACACTAAAAAGAAACTAAGATACAATTTTCTCTCAGTGTTTCAATTGACAAAAACCTTCATTCCCTAGGCCTAGGCTTTCTGGTTATATGTGAGCATGTGGCCCTGGGCAACAGGGGGATCTGATTGAGCTGCTCCCTTTCAGCATCTGACAGAGGACCCAGACTGTTCTCATGAACACTTTGAGGCAGCTTGGTCTGCCTCAGACAGGTTAAGGCAGTTTGGTCTGTTATTGAGATGGTGAGGCAAGGTCATCTGAGGTGCTATTGAGAGGTCATCTCCTGTCTCCATTTATTAAGAAATCAGATCACTGGTGTGGAAGAGAACATTCATGTCTTTTTTCCTCCTCTTGTCATTATTCATCCACCTCCTTCCAAACTGCGGAGATCAAGGCAATACTACAAAGAGAAGCAGAATCAGTCTAAAGTAGCTCTGTCTAGCCTTTCACACAAACTCTGGGCCCTCACAGATATTTGGTAGTCACTTTGTACTAGTCTCCTTCCTCCAGGGGACTCTGTCTTGTCTTTTTGTCACCACTGAAATCTGAATTCTCCTTACTGTTACAGGCATCTCTCTGCAGTCTCCTAGCAAAGCTGTCAACACTACCATGAAAGAGAAAGGATCCTGTTTGGTCCTGAGACAAGAAGACCCTGGGTATGATGATGTTGAGCCTAGCACCATGTAGCGCCATTCTGGGAGCAAGTAACTCTTCAAAGAATCTTCTGTAACATTGTTTTCCAATAAATGAAAGTCCTGTTTTCTTCCTTACTTCAGAGTTTTTACCTGTATCTATGATGAAAGGAAATTATTCTTTTTTTAATTCTTTTTTTAAAGATTTTATTTATTTGTTTTTAGAGAAAGGGGAAGGGAAGAAGAAAGAAAGGGAGAGAAACATCAATGTGTGGTTGCCTCCCCCTCCCAAAGACCCAGATATTGCCATTTCCTTTAATACCCACCCTTCGGATACTAAAGCTTTCACAAAGAGCTAGGCTTATCTACTTGACACTTCCCAGAGCACCTCTTAACAACCTTTGCCAGCAGAATCCCTGAAAACCCCTTTCATATATGAATCCCAGTGGTAGGCATGGCTGAGTTCAAGGTGGGGCAGGGCTGGTGGTAGGAATGCTCTGAACTGCACTGCAGCTTTTCAGAAGTAGAGCTAAGATTCTGGCTCCAAAACCTTTGCTCTTTCTACTCTACTATTTGGCATCTGGTTAAAAAACATCACTTTTTTTAATGATTTAAATAGAAACACAGATTCTATCTTATAATAAATTTATCTTGTTATAGTCAATGTGTTTTTTGCACTGGACTCCTTTCTTAAATAGTATCCTATTATGAAGTATAAAGGGGAAACTAGAAAGGACAGAACATAAACTTTCTGTGTTTTATATACTATAAAATATCTTCCAGAATGTGTCTAAATATCAAGGATAACACTAGGTATATGTAGTATATGAGGTAACACTCAGTAAGCTATAATTATTGTTACTGGCATGGTCTGCTCATTTGCTATTCAGAACATGAAAATTCTGCTTGTAAACAGACACTGAGACCCTGAGGTCAAACAGTTTTACCAGGACCACATAACCAGATTTCAAGTTCCAAGATGTGTGATTACAAAGCCCACACTGACCCAACTTAAACTCGGCTTTGTTATCCCTTCCTCTCTGCACCCACAAAGTGCTGTTCTCAATGGTTTTGAACTCTCCCTTTCATTATCCTGCCTCCTCACTCCTCTCCCCACCAGCACTAGACACACTTCAGTTTCCATAGTATCGTTCTCCCACTGCAATCATAAAATATACTTTGGAATTATTTACTAGACCCTGGTGCCAAATTTGACACAGTGAGTGCTTGTATATAAGTCAGTACATTTTAATTACTTTAAACAATATTTTCTGCTTGATGTAACAATTTCAAGCCCACAAATTCAACATTTGTCAGGAGCCAGTGAAGACTCAGCTCATGCCTGTGGGTGAAAAGTTCCATAAAGTGAAATGGAAAGAGCTGTGCAGATTTGGTCTATGAATGTGAAGGTAAAACACAGAGAAGAATTTGGTGAAAATGTCTCAAAGAATACAATCACTTGTGTACTTCTCTAGCATTACTCACTAATTATTCATTGCACAGGAAGAAAAGAATGCTTATATTTTTAAATGTTCTGGATGCATATACAAATGAACAGAAATGTCATCTACACTGTGCAATAATTGCATGCTTATAAAACAAGTCACTTTGTAAAAAAATATGCATAATGAAACATAGGGGGGAAATCCATAAAGTGACATAAACTTTAGAGTTCAAATGTTTGTATTTTCACCAGTAAGGCAATTCATTTCTAAGGTCACTTCTTGAGAACATCAGTTTAGAAAATACCCAGGAGACTCAAGTCTATCTTAAAGTGTTGTCTGCAGTCAACTAACCCAAAACGCCAAGAAGCACTGTTCTTTTTCATGTATGTAATGGATCTTGTTCAGCTATAATTTATTAGTGTTTAATATGTACCAGGCTTTGTGGTAAAGCTTATATTTATTATCTCATTTATTCTTTCTCACAATGTTAAAGGATAAATTTTATTATCATCATTATGCAAATGAAAAAACATGTAATTGACAACACATTCATGTAAATATAATAATGGATATGTTTCTTTTAAAGTTACATCTTTAAGGCCTATTTATATCAATCACAGGGTTCTGAAGCCAAACTTCCCAAGGTCCTAAGACTTAGAGTTATTCCATTGTTTCACTGTACATACACTAACACTTGAGGACCACTTCAATCATTTCCCTATAAAATAGGAGATAGATTCATCTGCTTAAAGTGTTGTTCAAGGAAAATGGACAAGAGTTTAAAAACCACTGCTAGAAAGAGAGAGGAAAAGGACTTCACTCTGAAGTCCTGGAAAGGTAAGAATCCAGGAGAAGAATGGTTCAGAGAGTCCACACTAGGCACCTGCTATGGATAAAAAAAGATGAATTACAGTGACAGGGATTTACGTGTTCTTTAAAGATTTTATTTATTTATTTTTAGAGAAAAGGAAGGGAGAAAGAGAGAGAGAAAAACATAAATGTGTGGTTGCCTCGCATGTGCCCCCTATTGGGGGCCTGGCCGACAACCCAGACATGTACCCTGACTGGAAATCAAACTGATGACCCTTTGATTCACAGTCCTGCACTCAATCCACTGAGCCACACCAGCCAGGACAAGGCTTACAATTCTCTATGTGTTTATCAACCTCACTAAAGAAGAGGATAAATGAGAAGACAATGTTAAAGTAGGTCATTGCAAGTAGAATGTATAGCCAGAAGCCCACATTTTGGAGCAAACAGGTGTCTGACTCAAACTCACACATGAAGATGAAAATATGGATAAAAGAATTCTCTGTTCAACCTCTGTAACCTCCTAAGTGACCAGCATGATAAAATCACAGTTTCAGAAAGAGTAGAAGTAATGAATCTCTCAGTGGGGGATTAACCAAGCCTCTTCCTACATATACCATACAGGACACACTGAGTAGAATCAGATAACTTCAACAAAAGCCTCAATAACCTTAATTACTGGCACATTTGAACTTGAGCAGGAAGGAGACTCATACTCAAATACTCAGAAAAAGTGTTCCTGCACTGGAATCACACCTGAATACAAAGGAAACAGCCTGTTTCCTCAAACTCCTCAGCTTTAGAGCCAGCTTTATTTAGAAAAAAGACACCTAAGTTGAAGAATAAAGAAATGTCACATGTTCATAAAGAGAAAACCCAGATCATTCCCTAGAAGGTCCAGAATTCTCTGTCTTGCTGTGTTTATTCACATCAGGAACATATGTGTCCCACTGACTGTGTGTTCCAGTTGTGTGTGTCACAGGAGGGAATGGTTTATTTTCTGAAATAAAAGTGATGCTGTCTTCTGAACTAAACAATACCAGGCACTGGGATTGCTCCTACTATCACAGAATGTGCTCTCTTGGTCCTCAGCAGCAGCTTTGGAAACCCTGGGGAAACAGCCAAGGGATCAGGTCATAGCACATTCAGTACCAGAACGCAGCCTTGTTCACAAATGGAATTCTCTTTAAAGCAACATGTCTGAATTTCTAACCTACCACACAAACCCATCTGACATGTTGCAAAGGAGCACCTCAAAGCAGAAGTTGTCTAATTCTTCAAGTCACATTCCCCAGGGATGCCCAGCCCACTGCCACAAGGAATACTCTGTCCCACCACCACTCCCCAGTGCACACAATGATCCCAGATCCTGGTCTGAACTCAGCCTTCTCTAAGGTGACCAGCACAGACCCAATGGCAAGATGCTAATGTGCATTCATGGCCTTTGCCAGCTCCCAAGACTTGTTGCGTGCCATCTCCAGAGGCCTTCATGCCTAATCTCTCTCTGCTGTGAGAAAGTGTTTCCCCCCAGGGCCCACAAGCTCCCCAATTCTCACCTAAAACAAAAGACAAATCGCTGATACCACAGCACAGCCTACGACAAAAATCGTGCCCAGTGCAGGACTGGACAGGAAACATGCAGCCTACACACTGTCCTGTGTGAGTTTCTCATTCACTGAAGAAATAAAATCCCAGATGAAAAAGACAAGCATGACTATAGGCTGGAATAATTTGAAAACTATTTATGGGACATTAAAGAGAAATAAGAGCAATTAAACAAATGAAATGTAAAGGAAATGATCTGGTGAGAGTCGTGGCTACTTTCTGGTTTCAGGGGATGAAAACAGGAACAACATGCTCATGCATCTTTATGGGCTTCAGGTTGGGAACATTCTCAGAAACTGAAAATTTCTCAACCTAACTATTTTTTTACAATGATTTTTGTATTTATTTTTTAATATATTTTACTGATTATGCTATTACAGTTTTCCCATTTCCCCCCCTTCACTCCCCTCCACCCTGTACACCCTCTCCCACCCATATCCCCCCCTTAGTCATGTCCATGTGTCATACTTATAAGTTCTTTGGGTTCCACATTTCCCATACTATTCTTACCCTCCCCCTATCTATTTTCAACCCACAATCTATGCTACTTATTCTCTGTACCTTGTCCCCCTCTCTCCTCCTCCCACTCCCCTGTTGCTAACCCTGCATGTGATCTCCATTTCTGTGGTTCTGTTCCTGTTCTAGTTGTTTGCTTAGTGTCTTTTGGTTTTGCTTTAGGTGTGGTTGTTAATAATTGTGTTTGCTGTCATTTTACTATACATGTTTTTTTCTTTATCTTCTTTTCTTAGATAAGTCCCTTTAACATTTCATAAAATACGGGCTTGGTGATGATGAACTCCTTTAACTTGACCTTATCTGAGAGGCACTTTATCTGCCCTTCCATTCTAAATGAAAGCTTTGCTGGATAGAGCAATCTGGGATGTAGGTCCTTGTCTTTCATGACTTGGAATATTTCTTTCCAGCCCCTTCTTGCCTGTAAGGTCTCTTTTGAGAAAGCAGCTGGCAGTCTGATGGGAACTCCTTTGTAGGTTACTGTCCCCTTATCTCTTGCTGCTTCTAGGATTCTCTCCTTCATTTTTACCTTGGCTAATGTAATGATGATGTGCCTCGGTGTGTTTCTTCTTGGGTCCAACTTCTTTGGGGCTCTCTGAGCTTCCTGGACTTCCTGGAATTCTATTTCCTTTGCCAGAATGGGGAAGTTATCCCTTATTATTTGTTCAAATATGTGCTCAATCTGTTGCTTTTCCTCTTCCCCTTCTGGTACCCCTATAATTCGGATGTTGGGACGTTTAAAGATGTCCTGGAGGTTCCTAAGCT